AGATACATATCGGTGTGAAGAGAAGGAGAGTGATAACGATGGAGAGACTGTTGTATTGCATACGAGATATAGACTTGATTAGTTACGGATCTGTGTCCAATGGCCAATAAGTAGCCAATCCTGGACTTTTATCATACTACTCCGGCTCTGATGAAAGGAAAAGAAACATATGGCGAGACATCCCACGCGACTACGAATCCATGAAGTTGGCAGGGAGGATGCCTGTTAACAGAAGCAAGGATCAGCTAAGTAGCAGTTATATGCGTGAAGCGTTTTAGCTAGTAGTATAAACAAACGGCTACAGTACATTTGGAAGTTTTACTTCCTTCGCGTTTAGTTTCAAAGTATAACGATTACTGGTAAATAATATAAACCCCTAAGAAAACTGTATGATGACCATCAACAGTTGGGATCAAAGTAGATCTTGCAACAAGTATCACCATAAACATAGACAAAATTCAACAAATTTACATAATTAATTAATCAAAGCAGCTCTAAAATGGACGCTTCGAACAAGGCGCTTCGAGAATTCGAATTCACAAGACGCGTATTACAAACGTTTTCTAAGAAACAGGCATTGTTAATGAAGAGATGGCCTCTCGTCAGATCATTGAACAGCTGAATGAACTTTTCTGCCGGAAAGGATTTTCGCTTGGTGACGAAAAGCCGCACACGAGAACGTCTTGTCGTTGGTGATCGCTCACATACCTGAAAATTACAAACTGTAGTGAAGGACAAACTTACGCAACAGTCACCTGGATGTGGCGAGCAAAAGCTTGTATTACTGAATAAGCAATAAACAGCAAATACCAATAACATTTTGAAGCTAAAAATAAATTTCAACAACGGACCATTTACCAGATCTACCTTACTGACGCACTTTCTATCCAAAGGTAAAAAAAAGTTTGACTCACGAAATCACACTCGTCTGCATCGTTAACCCCCGGAGACGCTCACCTTCAGGATAATGAAAATTATACGCAGAATAGTCCTGTATAAAAATATGCCTCTATCATATTCTGGTCTTCCTTAGTCCCAATCGTACTGACAAAGCCAATGATAGAGGGTACTCATTCGGTCAGAAAGTACACCGGAGTCGTTCTGGTGAGTGTCAAAAGGCGCTCAATTTTGTAACTCCACTTAAATCTGCTACATATGTGCCCAAGTTAAGAGATGAGCGACCTACTAGAAAACTCAACATTTAAGCACACGTTTTAGGCATGAAGGAGGTGAGGTCGCCAGTAAATTGCATCCTCGTAAGGCGATAGAAATTTATGAGTTATTTAATGTGACCTGACATTGTAATATCTTGAAGCCGTGTGAAGTTATGGGCTTGCGGCCTGGTATCAGTGCGGTTTGACGGCTTTTCGCCTTGCCTGAAAATTCAGCACAAACTGCAACCCGTCAATAGAAGACTATGTATGAATTATGTTGATTTTTCCACTTTTATCATGCAAGCCTCTACAAGATCTTTCGATGAAATTAAATCTTTAAACAGGCAGGCATAAATTCGAAGTACACCAACAATGCCAATGAACGACAATCAACATTCCTGAAAGAGACTGACTTCACTCATTCACACAAGGTCGTCAGACTTGACGCAAAATCCTATTCTCCACAATAGCTATATAAGCGCAAATGTATGCATATGGATTATATGTGAGAGCCAAATATTCCTAATTAATACTCGGCATGTATCAAGTTACCGAGAGATGGTATGCGTATATGTGTCGACGCAGAGATCATTTTCTAGAGAAGATACGATGTTCTTTCCGAAACTAACGAAGGAATGTGCGAAACGCTGCCAAATGCATAAAAG